GCCACCCACCAAGGAAAAAAGCCTGATGCAGTGGGAGAAGACTCTTATCTCTGAACATCACACCATCTGCTTCCAGGCAGCAGAGCTGTGATCTGAGCAGGTGATGACTCATACTAACATCTCCTTTGAGAGCCATATCCCATCTCTGGATATCTCCTTCATTGTCTTAGCAAGATTTGTTGTACCATAGCAGTCTGGGGGAGGGCTGGTGGAAAAGAGGCCCAAAAATTGTGATTAAGTATAAATAATAACTAATTAAATACTAAACAAATCAGGTGCCTCTTTACTTTGCCTGGAAAGCTGCAGGTAACTGTTGCTCTGTGCCTTTTTATTTGGGAGAAGAAAGGCAATATTATTCCTTTCCCTGTGAGAGGTGGGAATCTGAACTGCAAATGCAGCCCAGATGCAGAATTATGCTTGGCACTGTCAGTTTGTCCTTCCAATGAATGTTTATTCTTGGATCTTGGTCTTGTCTGCTTATGGTTGGCAATACAGAAATACTGTGGCAGGGACACAGTAATCTGTATCTAGAGCTCTGCTCCAGGGCCTGTCCACCAGCAAGTTTGAGGAGGCAGCTCGCCAGAAGATACAAGGCATCCACAGCCCATGCCGTGAGATTCCAGCTCATGCTCCAGTTCACCATCTGGTCTGACCTCTAGGAAATCTCTTGTACCATGATGGGCAATACAGCACCTGGAACTTCCACCAAACAAGAATGTAAATTATTTGGAGCCCACTGTCCTCTGGAAAGGCTTTCTGATTTGTCCTCCTTACCTGTAAGAGGATGATGATTGTGAAACTGGTCTTAACGGTGACTTGATTTGCTCTCCAGCTACTAGGTGGTTATCTTAGAAGGTGCATTTTTTTTTTTTTAACCAAATAACCTGGAGCTGGGAGCAATTGGAGTTGCTCTGTAGTCTGTCCTCTGCAGGTAAAAGAAGAAAACTTTTTCCCAGCTGTGTCTTGATTGCTTCTTTGTCATCTCTGGGGCTTCAGAGAAGTAAGCCTTTTCCTTTCAAGGAATAACCAAGTGGACTAATTGGGCCTTATCAGTCAGTCAGGTCATATCAGTCTATGTCAATTAGTTGATGTGTATTCACTCCCTGTATTATTCATTCCCTGGAGAGCAGATTGCATCCACTGCCTGTCTTGGGAAATTCCCATACCTGAAATCTAAGGGGAGTCATTATCACCACCCTTGTCCCTGTGCTGCAGTTGCTGACTGCCTAGTGACCATCAGGGCTCCTCCTTTCCATGCCCCCAGTTAGTTACCAAGCCTACAATACACCTGTGTGGTTGAAAAGATGCACTATTGCTTGCTTTAGAACAGTAGCTGTTTGAGATGTGGAGAGCAAGGGTATCTCTGTGCTTTTTAGTGTCCCGCTTCATGGGCCTCCACAGTGGATGAGTGCAACTGAGTATCATCTGTGTCACTTGTGTGCCATTACTAGACTACTTCAGTGACATCCCAGTGTTATGCAGCCCAGTGGGTAACCTTACTTGAAAAAACATTGCCAATGGCCATGTTGACCATGTGTGAACTGGAGATGTAATCCATCCTGCACTTGCTGTGGCTAAGGAAAGGCAGGCCCAGAACTGGACAGCTTTGATTCCACTTGGGTCTCTGTGTTGTAACTAGCTCTAGGTCTTCAGGGATAGCAAACTGTAGGCACAGGGCACTTGGGTGAAATCTTAAACTCTCTGAGCCTGAGCTGCCCTATTCTTGCACTTAATGAACCTTTCATGTCATTTGCATTGAGGCCACTTACATGACAGTGTGCTCATCTAATGTGAATGAGGACTTTAGGACTTGTCTACTGAATCAGGTAATCAGTCTGTCCGAAGCGTTTCCTACCTCTGGTGAAGGGCTGATATCCAGTGAGCTGGGAAAGCACGGAATTATACAAGGTAACCTGTGAACTGAACTGTGCTTCATATGTGGGAGAAAGAAATTCCTTCCTGACCTCCTGAGATAATCAGTATATGCCTTGAAGCATGAGAGGCAATTGCCCTCATATGAGCTTGCATAACTACAAATGTTATTGGCTAAATAATTAGATAGCCTCTTGAAGAGAGAAAATCAGTTGCAGAATGTGACTCAGTGCCTTTTGTATCAGACTGTTCCAAGAAGTGTAATAGTCTCTTAATTGAAGTCCTTATACCTTGATATTAAAATGCATTTCACTGGCATTGATATCAAAGAAATGTTAATGCTCCTAATCTTTCTTGAGACATAGTAAGTCTAATTTTAATGAAAATCACTGTGCATGACATTCTTATAATACCTGTTTAAAAAAACATTGAGAAAAAAGCAATATATTTTAAATGAATCCTCAAACACCATGTAGTCCGTGTGTTTAATACCAAAAACATCTTCTTGTGTTTCTGAGGCTGTTGCTATATTAATGTGTGACATTAATTTTCAATAAAATTTTGCATCTTCGTTTATCTTGGGACTTTTCTTTGGCCAGATGGCTTTCTCTAGACCTTTTACACATCTGCTTATATGATGGAATAGTTTAGTTGAAACGAGTATGGATATGAAGAAAAATGCTTTTGTTTCCTGTTTGATTCACTTGAGCTTGATTGTCTTAATCTTGATTCTTATGAGTATGAATGAGATAAGAATGGAATCCTTAAGCTATATGTTAAAGTATGCATTTGTTTTCTATAGTGTAGGGTGCTTTGTGTTGGCTTATGTTTGCTTGCTGCTTTTCTGTTTTTTAATCCCCAAAGTATTTTGTAGTCTCCTAACTAGCTTTGCTGAGATCATTGGTGGTGGTGTAGAGGGCAAAGTTAGGCCCACTACTGACCTCCTTGGAGAATCTTGTTTTGTAGCAACAGGCATCCTTTTTACAAAAAAAAAAAAAAAAAAAAGTTTCTAGTCATGAGCTTTCTGAATAAAATCTGTCTTGAGCTTAAACAATGCAACTAAATATTTTTTGGGAAGTCTTTGTTGATTTGATTTGGAATTTCACTGTGTATATGGTGACCTCTTCACTTGCATATCATGCAGATTTTGCCCTAAGAGGCTACTCAGGTGTGTATTAATTTCAGCTGAAGCTCAGTTAGGATAGGTGCCTGAACCTGTAAAGTAGAAATATTAATTTTGGTCCTAAATCCAGAAGCCTCTTAGGTTAAGGGTGGTGTCAACCTGACTTGAATTTCATGGCTGGCCTCAATTTTATAATTAGTGAATTGAAACCTCAGATCTGAATCATTCTCTTCACCCTGAAAAGTTGGGTCTGAACTTCATGGCTCGGTTTCACTTCCCCTTGGGAGTTGCTGCCATCGTTAATTTGTGAAGCTTCTTGTGCTTTCCACTTCCTTGAGTCTATGAAGTTTGCTGGATCTTGTCCTGCATCTTCACTGCCAAAGGACAGTTCACACCCTTCTGTACCTCCTGTAATTGTGTAATTAGGTAACATTTCTTCAGGGCCTTAGATACTCTAGCCTGTTAGCATAGATGTTTTCTCCACCCAGCACTGCAAGTCTTAAAAGTGCAGGAAGCTGGAGACAATGTAATTGTATGAAACTTGACCTTGAGTGCTGAACGTTTTAATAAATTATCTAGGAATAAGCCTTTTCTTTCCTTTACACTTCACTTATTTGAAGTAATAACTATTCTTTTTGCATAGAAGGAAAGCCAGTTCCCAGGAATTGGTGCAACCAGTTATACCCAGACGAACAAGTTTCCCAATGGGAAATAAGACGGGAATGTGCCCCTGCACATTTGCCACGGGGTCACCGTGATACGGCAGAACGAGTGCCGGGCTCCGCGGCGATCCTGGTGACCTCTGCTCTGTTGGGTGAGCATGGTTTGCGAGGGTACATCGTGTTTGGGAAGTGTGCCCGCTTCCCCAGCACCTCATCGTGTTTGGGAAGTGTGCCCGCTTCCCCAGCACCTTTGCCCAGTCTTGCAAAAGCCCTTGGTGTCAGAGAAAGAAAAACCCACTCTCCTGTGGCATGGCAATGCTCTGCCAATTGCGCTCTTGGGCCCGCTTTAATGATAATTTTCTGCATATCCCAAATAAGACCCCACTCCAGATGGGATGCCGCAGCCGTAACTTGATCTGGGAACTGGGCTGCTGTTCAGAAGCGGTCTGGTCTTTGCACTCCGGATTGCTTACGAGGCGGGATTGCAGCTGGGACCCTTGGGGCTGGGGAGGGGGAGCTCGCCAGCAAGCTTCTCTGGCCTGGTTTGTGGACACGCTGGATGGAGTTTGGGGATGCCTGGACTTGAGGGAGGCCAGTGCTGTTGTCAAGTGGTAATAAGAATCTGATACTCTTTGCAAGCAGCCTGCGGGGTTTGGATACCGAGTTCTTCTTAGCACCAGCAAAAGCTGCGTGTTGGCATCTCAGGCAGCTCTGACTATCTCAGTAGTGGTCCCTAAGGTGTATGGAGTCTCTATTGAGCAAAGAGCCTCTGGTTGTTTTTTTTATATATATATATGTATGTATGTATATACACCTGACAACAACCTGATTGTATGAATAACTAGGAATTTTGGAGAAACCAAGCTGATAAGTGTGACCCAGTCGGAAAACTATTTCTGCAGTCAGGTTTTAGGGGTAGTTAAGATGGTTTGAGATAGCTTCCTCAGCTCTTGTTCTTACGAAAAAGCCTTTGACCACAAGGAGAGCTTAACTTAAAAATACTATTTTCGAGTTTTGGCAGCTGTTTGCTGGCTTTGCGTATGTTCGCTTCAACTGAAAAACTTATGTGGAAACTTTTCCTTAAATAAAAAATTTGAACCGAAAGTGAAGGTTCCCTTCATCAGTATTTCACCATTTGTTTTTTAAATGCCCAGAATATCTGGGAAACTTCTTACTTCCTGTTGACTCTCTCTCCAATGATCTTTATCTGTGACGCTCCCATGGTGTCAGTGATTTTACTAGCACTAGCTCACCACAGCAACAAAAAAAACGTAGCCCCTTGGATGTGTGCTCTTAACAACCAACCACTGTAATTCCTGTCCTAACTTTTCCTTGGTTTGCAGGACCTCCATGCAGTCGCAGTCATCCTATGGCTCCAACTCTCCACCACTCAGCAAAATGAACAGCATGAACAAGCTGCCCTCGGTCAGCCAGCTAATTAACCCCCAGCAGCGCAATGCCCTGACCCCAACCACCATACCTGACGGCATGGGAACCAACAGTAAGAAACTCTCACTCCTCCTGCTCTGTGTGCACACCCCACTAATCTAGGGAAGGAGACTTGGCATCTCCAAGTGGCTACTGTTATTCCGGGGAGCCTGGAGTCATTTGTGGTAACAGGGCTGGGAACCTGCAGAGCCGAATATTGCTCACTGCTGTGCCACAGGGCAAGTCACCTGCTTTCTCTAAGCTTCAGCACCCTGCTCTGAGTCTCACCGAGTGAACAGAGCTACTTCTTGCTGCAGATCTGGCTGGCTGCACTGTCATCTGTCTTTCAAGAGTTGTTGTTTCTTCCTTTCCCAGCAGAGGAGATGCAAGCATTGGCAAACGATTTCCCCTCGGTTCAATTAAGATACTTCTTAGTTTCAAAGGAAATATCTGCATCTCACAGCTCTGTAACCTGCTTCCTCCTGGCTGCCGAAGAGTGCCCAGCAGCCCTGTAAATCCAGGATGCCAGACGTGGTTCTGGGGGCTGAGTTTTGTTGGGTGGGGGTTTTTTGGGGGTTGGCTTGGGTTTTGTGTTTTGGGTTTTTTTACTAAATTTCAAAAGCATTGGGCTGTTGCCCACACCTGTTGCTGATCCCCTTTGGGTGCTCTCGGTGTCTCTGAAAACAAAGCTGTTTGGCTTCCGTATTGGGTTACTCCGCTGGCTCTGTCCTGCTCCTCTCCTGCAGCAGGGAAAGCTGAGATGCCTGCGGCTTCCTTAGGTTTCTATCGAGCCTGTTTGTAAGGGAAGGTGACGTGGCAGCACGGCCGACAGTTGCTCTGGCGAGGGGAGAGCTCCCGTCTGTCATCTGGTCCTTGTGCTGTCATTGTGGCCCTGCCTAAAATTCCCCATGAGCTTGCTCTGTGTGGGACTTTGCAGGGGATTCAAGGCTGCTTCAGCTGCAGGTGCTGTCCCTTGGCACCGTGCTGGGGGCAAAGTGGGGGTCCAGGGATGCCTGGGTAACAATGTGCTCCTCCTTCTTCTCTTCTCCAGTTCCCATGATGGGCACCCACATGGCCATGACCGGCGACATGAATGGCCTCAGCCCCACTCAGGCGCTGCCTCCTCCCCTCTCCATGCCTTCAACGTCCCACTGTACCCCCCCTCCTCCGTACCCCACAGACTGCAGCATCGTCAGGTGAGCGGGAGCAGGCTGCCTGGCACACGTTGCCCACCCGCAGGGAGCCAAGGACTCATGTCAGGAGCGTGAAGGGTCCTGCCGGGTCCCTCGCCCCGTTCTTCTGGAGCACTGGATCCCAGTGGGTCTTGGCAGTCCCAGGGCTGGCACACCTCTGGGCACCAAGCCTCAAACCCTCACCTCTGAGCTGAGAGAAGCAGGGATGTTAGGACTGCAAGAAAGCCGAGGGATGCAGCATCTATTGGACTGGTGGAGCTGAGGGCACCAGGCAGTCTTGCAAACATTTCTTTTTTCTTTTTTCTTTTTTTTTTTCTTTTTTTTCCCCTTTGGCTACTTGACAAGCCATGGCTGGGGTCAGAAGCCCCTCTGCCCTTCATGAGGTTGAACAGGTTGAAGGATGCTGCCCATAAAGGAGGAATCCTTTACACTTAGGGAGGAATGTGCTGAAGTACTTTGTGTGCATGATGTGTCTGAGCCCCAGACCCACCGCCTTGCTGAAGCCCTCTATCTGTACAGCAGGCTGCCACGGGCTCAGCCACCTTCTGGGTGAAGTGGCCTGGCAGGAGGGTCCACATGAGCCTTCCTGCCCCAGGATCCAGGCTGTGTAGCACCAGCTATTGACTAAGGCAAGGTGCTGCCATGAGGGTTGTCTGCTAGGATCCAAGTTGAAGGACTCCCTCATTTGTTTGATGTGGCACCGATGCAGCTTGCTGGCCTGGGATGTCTTGGAGAAGGTCAAGCCAAGGGTGAAAGCTTTGTTTCCTGTTGCTGCAGGTTGGCTGAGTGTTTGGTTTTTCTGTGGTTTGGGCTGTTGCAGCCAGGGTGATCCTTTTTTCTCTCTCCTTCCTTCCTTCCTCCTCTGCAGCTTCTTAGCGAGGTTGGGCTGCTCATCCTGTGTGGATTATTTCACGACCCAGGGGCTGACCACCATCTATCAGATTGAGCATTACTCCATGGATGTAAGTAATTCCTCACAATTTCCTTTGTTTGCACTCTTGGCCCTGCTGTAGGAACGGGTCAGAAATCCAGACTCAGGTTTTTTTTGTTTTTTTTTTTAATATGGTTAGTTTGATTTAAGGCTGTTGCACACAGAGAAGACTTATTGTGAGGTTAAGAGAGGCTGGACTCGGGGCCAGCATTGTAACTGCCTTGCTTGGCACAGAGAAAGA